GTATATATATATATATATATATATATATATATATACATATATATATGTATATGTATATTTATGTATATATATGTATATATATAATATTGATGATAATTATTTGTCGAATTAATGGACTCATATCTGGATTTATTATATGTCAGGGACTTGTAAACAAAAAACCACTAATGTAAGTATCACATTTGTTGTAATCGAATGGCTGAGATTTATAGTTAGGGCGATGTAAACTTCACTTAAGCGATGAGTATTATATATTTTGATAAATTTTGAGGACTAATCTGCATAATGGTGAGGAATTGACACATATATCCACATGTATGTATGCTAGAGAGTTTGGAAATAGCACACTTAGCACTGTGATACCCCTTTAAATCATATTCCATTTCCGCTATTAACCATATTTAATAATAATTAGTTTTATTTGCAAGAATAAAAAATATATTACTTAAAATTATCTTTCATATTCTTAACTATGATATATTAGATTAATCAAAATTCATATACTGAGTCTAGCTAATAAAGATATCACTATTGAAATATTCTTAATTTAATACATTATTTATTATTATTATTATTATTATTATTATTATTATTATCTACGAATATGTCATTATTCTCTATCACATCTCTTATTTGAGCATCGGCCTTATCGGATGCATTCTTGACTTTAATTTTGTATGTGATGTTTGAGTTGTGAGAAACTAAAACGGAAGAATTTGACTAAAAAAAATATAATTTTAGAATTTATTTAAAATATAATAAATTTCAAACCACAAGTTAGGTTAGATCACAGGGTTAATTGTTTTAAGGAATGTTAATGTCAATCAAAGTCAAAATATCTGAATATTAATTTTTAAATTTTAAACACACACATATATGTGTATAATTTTTATGTCTAATCATGATATACTTAAGTGTTGGATTCACTTATGAATTTGAATTTGTAATCATTAAATATTAAGATGGCTAGCAACACATATCCGAAAATTTTGATGAGGAGTCATTGATGATAAGTGTTAGTGAACTTTTACGTTGTGGTCGAGGTGTTAGCACGGTTCAGTCCAATCCCAGATATGTAATGTTGTCTACACGGATGCTTAGATGGTGATAACGAGCATCGGGTCAAGTTGAACTCAGGATCGGCTCTGCACGATCTACTTTGTTGTCACCAAAGTCCATGCACGTATGCCTAGGTCGAGAGGGGAGGGATTTCCTTATTTGACCTCTCCAAAGGTTGAGTCAGTAAAGCTTATTGTACACGACCTAATGATGGCAGCCGATTCCCCGAGCGATCGACTTGTACCTTTGGACGAGCGTCAATCGACCTGCATGGAACGATATCACATGGTGTTGCTCTAAGCTTTCTAAAGCAACTTTCCACTGTACGACATTGTCTTGTGCGGCTTCGAATGATACGGGTAGGGGGGGTGGCCATCATCTCAGGTCTTAGGTGGCACATCCGACGTGATGCTTCATCGTAGTCCAGAGGCTCCATATCCGTGCTGACGTGTTTGCTGATTATGTTTACGAGGGTGATATCGGAATTTTCCCTATCAGTAAGGTCGTGAGATGGAATAAATTTATTGTTGAGGGATTGATATGCAAAATTGTTAATTACTGTACCGTGAGGAAGCTGCGGCTATAAATAACCCTTATGGGGCTTCGCTTCTTGCTTCTTTTCGCCCCTGCTGGTGGTGTGATCAGGGAAGAAAAGGAAAGGAGAATAAGGGGGCGCTGCTTTTCCGATCCCCCCTCACCCCTCTCCCTCCCGCCTTCGACTTCCGATGCGAGTGAGATCGCAGACCGCGCCCTCCATCGCCGATCCGCATGTGTTCCTATCAGGAGACCAACACGATTGGATCTTTCTTCCTCTTTCGTTGTTAACCTTCCATCGGAACCTCTGTCTGTGAAAAATCCCGTATTTCTTTGGTGCTTTTTCGCGCAAGATTAACCCATCTTTGTCCATTCTTGGTTCCCCCCTCAGACCCCCGCAATCCCTTCTTTGAACCCTGTAAAATTCCCTTTTTTTTTTGTTCGGTCTCTCTTTTTTGTTGGATTTGGAGCTCGTCTTCTTCGCCTCGGTTGGACCCCGAGGATTTAGGTTTAGGGATAGGCGAATCGGACTGTGGAGGCCTTCTTTGGTGTTCTGGAGATCAGTTTTTGGGCTGTTGTTGTGTGGATCTTTGTGGCTCCCGGAGCGCTGGGTGTTCCTTGCTGGGTTTCGTTTCCGTGTTGAGAAAGAAAAAGGAGGGTGTTACTTGATCTCAAATCGCGGTTACAGGGACTAGGGTTCGTCACGGTCTGAGGCACAGAAAGAAGACTGCGCTTTAAGATTCGGGCGGGTTCGTCCGGGTTCCGGTAGATCGGTTCATCGATTTCTGCAGCACCGTTTTGGTGTTTTTGGTGGTGGGCGGTGCTGTACTAGCGGGAACTGATCTCGATTCTTTCTGGTGCTTGTGACCTTCTCTTATTGACCGTCTGTTGTTGGTTAACACCCAGTTCGAGGGTTCATCCGGTTGGCTCGAATAATTGCTGGTGGTGAGTTGTGTCGAGAGCAATGGAGAGGATCTGAATCTGGAAATGTGTGTGAGGACATGGTGCAGAGGCAGGAGCATGGGCGGTGGTCCGTTCCCTTACTGGAACAGTTATACTGCATACTAGGATTTCTAGTCAACCGAGGCTTACCGTGCAATGTCTCGCTGCTTCCCATTCCCACCACCGGAATATGAAAAGAAGACAAGTAGTGGCCACGTAGACTTACTAGCTGAGGTGCTTCTCTTACAAGCTTATTTTTGCTTGCTTTTAATCCATTTTGTTGGCTTCCCAACTTTATGCCCCTTGCACTTGATAATTGGTAACTTATATGAGGAGGTCCTTTGAGTACTGTTGTGGGAGAACTTTCTTGTATTACAAGTTGGTAAATTATGTTAGGAGATGATCATGATCAATGAACTGGATATTCCCTAAATTAGGATGAGAAAGTTAAATTTCATCACATGTGATGTTTTGTCTTATTTGAGTAGTTATTATGTAACCATACTCTGGAATGCTGCTGGCAGTATGCTGATAAAAATTTTCGGAGTACACAGTGGATAATTGTGTAGGATCCTGTTTTGATCGTGCGCATAAGGAATTTTTTCTTGTATTATTGAATCAAGTGAGGTCTATTTATAATTATGTTGTATTGTAGTGCTTCTCATTCAACTTAGAAAGTTACATGGCTAATCAAAGTTATGCTTATTTAATATCCTACCACGACCTGTATAACTTATTTCTGTGTTGTCCTTCTAATTGTTTTACTATAATGCAACACTCATATTTGACATATAGAGTAGTCATTTTGTCTTTGGTGCCAAAGTTGATCGTCACAGAATCATTCCATCCTATCACAACTAGACTCTTGAAAAATGGCAGATACCGGAGTTTAAGTTGATAAAATTTAAGCTGGGTAAAATTCAGCATTGGTTTATGTAAGTACAAGCTGATTTTTGTTTTGATTATGGCTTATTTTGCTAATAAACCACAATTGCAAACTACGATATAAAGGCAAGCTGATTGTTGCCAACAAGATTATTATTCAGGGGAACTATTCTTAATCTGGTCAGTGGTAATGGGTTTGAAAGAACAATCATGTCTATTTACACTGAGACCAGGGAGGTCAGGTCACCAACCATGTAATGCTCGAGATTGGAAAATATATTTTTATCAAGGTTTTGTGAACAATAGAAGTATGAAAATAACTGGGGCTCAGTTCAGCTGGACTGATCAGTTTTGTCCTTAGTTACTACCATCACTCAATGGTGAGCTATCTCTTAAGCACATTGTTTTCTGATCTTACCGGAAATAAGATTATCAGTAACCACCCTCATAACTTCCATATTTCATAATTTTTTCCATATAACCCACGCAAGATTATCTTCAAGGTTGTGTAGGTTGAATACTTAGTACCATGAAAGCTGCTTTATTAGAGGAAATCCGTAAGCATGTGATCCAACTGACTCTTTCTACTAAGTGTAAAATCTTTAAGATAAAAGAAGTGGAGAGTCATCTTTAGTTGGCAAAGAGATTGTTGAGCCTCAGCCATACCTGGGCTTGGCAGTCTTTGATGTTATATCATGTGAAAAGGACCCCCGTAGAAGCTGATATGACCTTAGGCGTTCGTGCTTCCCGTACCTATTTATAGTGGCATTGAAGTTGAAGTTGGGGAGCATTATTTAGACAACAATGTTTCACTTACATAAAGTTTTTGTCCAACAAGATTCTTAGGTTTCATTCTGATGCAATCATTGTTCATTTATGTAAGCTCTGCATTTGGTTAGGTCAGGTATGTTCAGTTTTTAATGAGTCAAATGGATAGTTTAACTGGACCTTTTGATAGTTGGGTATATAGCCATCTAAATTATTTTATGGTTTACTGACTGCCTAAATTATTTTGTTTAGGTGATTAATATAAATTAAATTAGAGATTCATGATAGCTTTAATTAGCAGGGAGATCATGATTGTTTCTGACAATCATATGTCTGTGATGATACTCTTTATTTTAATAATTTGTGTGTTTATGTTAGTTAGTGTTGGTACTGTTTTGTTTATTTAATTTGTTTGTTTGACGACTGAATGAAGGTTTCTTGAACTGTGTATGAGATTCAGATTTATTGGATTCGCATGTTAGAGGTTTGTCAGGGTTGCTATGCAGTAATTTTGTGTCTTCCAGGTTTGCTTGTATCCAATAAATTGAAGTGGTCTTACCTTGAAATATGATGGTTTCAAATAGAATACCGATTTATATGTGGGGTTGAATAGTCTGCTGTTAGTAGGTATTTACTTTCTGTTCATTTTTTTAAAATTTAAATGTGCATCATTTTCTGTCTCATGTCTCATCTAGTGTGGGCTCATTATAGCTTACTATCGTGATCAAACATTTATTGGTTGTTGGGAGAGTGCTTTTCTTGGTTTCTTTACCTTTTGGATGCCGTTATAGCTATATCATATCAGTATATTCATATCTGGAAATTGGTATGCAAAATTTTCACTTTGCTGAATCTTGCTTCTTTATTAGTTGAACTATTAGATATCTTGAGATTTTCTTAAAAAGTGAAACCTAGGTTTTTCATCTGGTTCACATGATGGTAGTTGATGTCCTCTTAACATTATCATTATATGATTTTGGTGAATATCCGAAACTTTGATGAATTGATTTACATTTACTTTTGTGGTCAATTTTGTGTCAACTTTCAGGACAAACACAAAGAGAAGAAGCATAAAAAGGAGAAGAGTGACAAAGGGAAGAGAGAAGGCAAAGAGAAAAAAGACAAAGATCGAAGTAAAGATAAACACAAGGAGAAGAAAGATCGAAAAGAAAGGCACAAAGACAAGAAAAAAAAGGATCAGGACAAGGATAAACTAAAGACACCATATGATAGGGCTGACAAACAGACTGATTCTCCCAATGGAGATATGGTTGGAGAATGCAGTTGGAAGGCAGAGGCAATTAAACATTCTAAATCTACCGAGGAGTTGGGCAGGAAGATCAAAGATGGAGATAAAGTGCCAGCAAACAGGAAAGTTGACAACTTCAGTGGCCCAGTTGAAAAAAGCATTGGTACCTTTGCTGCGTCTGCAGTGTTTAAGGAAAGAGTTCCAACTGATAAAAGTATTCCATCCTCTGTGGATGCTCCACAGGGTAGAATTGATGGCTTGGAAAGGTCAGCTGACAAAATTGCTATTTCTAATCAAAGAAGAAATGAGGGTTTGGTCTCTTCACATGTATCACAGAAGGAAAGAAGTACTAGTGACAAGTTGGCGCCAGATCTCAATAGTACAGCGCAAAGAGGAAATGGTGGTATGGCACTACCTCTGGAGAAATGGATGGATTCTGTTCCAAGACAATTTGAGGGCCCATACCCTGCAGCTGCTATGGAAATTGATAATTACAAGAGTAACAAAGTTACCTCAAGTTCCACTAACGCTGTTCAAAGAACCACTAATGGGATGGGTCAGCCAACGCAGAACCTTTCCACTCCTAAAAATGTTGCCTCCATTGGCCTTGCCAGTAAGATGGAGGACAGAAGAGAAGTTAACAAAACTGATCCAAACCATGACCTTATGGATCAAAGAAGAATTGATAGGATGGGCCGATCAGTGGAGAAGGATGCAAACAACAGGATTAAGGAGGAGAAAGCGAGGAACACAGAGCGGGAAGCTGATGATAGGAGAGAAGATAGACAGAGGGATAAGGATCATGACAAGAAGAAGATCAAGGATAAAGACAAGCACAAAGGGAAAGAAAAAGAAAAGGCGAAAGTAAAAGAGAAAGGTGAACATAAACATAAAGAACAAATTGGGCCTAGAGATGGCATGAAAAAGGATCAGTCAGATAGTCTCAATCTAAAGCCTTTAGCCCCTCAGAGAGATAATGCAAAAAATTATCCTATCAATGATAATTTCAAGAAGAGAAAGGAAATGGATATAAATGGGTTCCATAGTGGTAAGTCTTTTAATATATTTGTTTTTTTTTTTTTTTGTAATTTTGGGAGCACCCGTAGTTACTATACCATTATAAACCTCATTTGCTTGGTTTATATCACTGCATTTGCCATGACATGCAGAGAATAATATGCGGATTGACAAGTGTCCAAGAACAAATCCTTCCTCTCACCTCCGTGAAGAGAATGGGAGGACACTGGAATCATCCCATATTGCTACAGTTTTTCCTTCAGTAAAACCTGAAGCCATAAGGTATACGCTGACGGTAAAACCTGTAGATAACAAGGAACACAAGATAAATGGCATTGCAGAAGCTCAGCCATCCTTGTCTGGCTTGACGCATCTGGTTGCTGCAAAGAAGGGTGCAGCTGGTAAAGTTGATACAAGTCCTCACCCGGACTCCATGTATCTCAACCAAGTATACTCTATCCCCATAGTGGATGAATGGCCTGAATATGATGACCAAGAGTGGCTTTTCAGCAGCTGTCACCTTCAGCAAAAGCCGAAGTCAAAGCTTGGGGGCAATGAGGTCCCCCAGGTATGGTCTGAGGCACTAAAAATCGAGCAAGAGGATGTCATCGCTTTGCCTTATGTTGTTCCTTACTGATGCCAGTTATTCTCATTATGCCTGATTCATCTTAAAAGATATGGCGGCATGAATGAAAATAGTTGATCTGTTCATTTTGCTGCCTTCGGTTCCTCCATGCCTGTTATTTCTGGTATGACCTCAAACTTGTTGCAGTTTGAACATACTAGTGTTCTTCATGGCATATTCATTTCAGGTAGAATGGAGTTACTCTACCCTGCCGAGCTTCAAGTCCATTTGACTAGGGGTGCCATATTGCCGGATCATATTGTTGCTTCAAGTGGCTTGAAGTGTGAGCTCCTTGTGGGAGGAGGGAGGAGGGAGGTGAGGGGCGTTGCCGCTCTAATGCACAATTTTGGACTGTATTAATGTATATCATTTTATAAAAAGAACTGTACAATGGAGAAGGGGAGGGTGAGAAGATAATGGAAGTGGCTATTGTCATTCATTCATATAATTTTTGCAGCTACTGTAGTTCTCGTGGTAAATATTAAGCATGCAAATTCTCACATTGATTGATGAAAAAGTTATATTTCCCTTTTTAATCTTCCATATAAAACAATCTATCATTGAATCTCACCGTTGTGAATGGGAAAAAAGAAGGGTATATATTATAGAGTATGGGTTTTTTGTTTATTTTGTAAACATTGGAGCTTATTCCTATTACATCATTAATCGGCATGGAGTGTCATGGTCAAAGAAAACTATGAGGAAGGTTTGCAATCTTATCTTGTATGATTCTGTGTACACGGTATATATCGATTCGTCATGGATCAAGGGCTTATATATATATATATATATATATATATATATCAATCCGTTATCGATCATGGGATGTATGTATCAATTTATTGATATATGATACGTTAGTACAGTTTGGAATCATTTGGTAAGGAGTTACGAGTCACAAAATGATTAGGAGATAATTAATTTTTGATGAAATTGACTTATCTCATAATTATTTTTTGAATATTTTCATAATAATTATGGTTAATACTCATGAAAGTTAAATAATATGCATTAAATTATTAGTTAACAATTACGCATTAAAGAACCCTTATCGTGTTCCGCGGATGTATCATATCAGGTCTCCTTCTCTATAAAGCCCGATCTGCGAGCTCGACACTACGCAGATCCAGAGAGAGAGAGAGAGAGAGAAAGAGAGAGAGAGAGAGAGGCGCAATGGCGAGGCTTCACATCTCTGTCTTATTCGCCGCTGCTTTGATCCTATTGGGTATATCTTTTTTACTCTCAGCTTAACTCACGATCCCCGACAAGGTTTGTGCGAGCCCTAATTTTTGTCCCTCATTTTATCTTTTCTGTGCGAAGTTTCTGCGAAGAAATCTGGCGATGTGACGGAACTACAGATCGGGGTCAAGGTACTTGTTCCATTTGATTTCTTCCTGGAATCTTGTTGTTGTTTGTCTAGATCTTGGCTGTGATCCGTTATTCTTCTTGGATGGTGACTAGGACGGAAGAAATTATTGTGCTTCGAACAAATTGAAGGTAACCTAGGGTAAGTTGAGATGTTGATGGACGGGTCCTTTTTGGTGTTCTTACGGAAAGCAAAGTTAAAATGGGCTTAGATGCATTACAGGGGGGTTTAGACGATGTAGTCTGACACCTAGTTAACGCCTCAAACTAATCTTCGCTAACAAGAATAGAGATGCTATTGATAACATGATGCCGTTGGTTTCTCTTTTCCATATTAAAAAGCCAAACAAAGTGTCGTCATCTTCTGGTATGGGCTTGAGTAAGCTTCTAGTCAAGTGAGAAGTGAACCGTGAACCCTTTTTAGTTGGAGAGAGTCACGTATGACTAGGATCTTTTGTAACACCTCGATTAGTCTAATGGGTAGACTACCATCAACGTCAGCTTAAACATTTTGGTTAGTGGTTTGGACTTAATGAAATTAATAGGCCAGTTATCCCATCAGGTCGAGTCGTGATTTTTGATATCGGAGCCGACCTACCATTGATGTATGGTGAGGAAACTCGAGTAGAAAAGGGTCACATTGATGGAGTTAGAGGATTCGTCATGGTGTGGAGTATCACGAGGCTGCGCCTCACATATATCATATCAGGGTTTGATCTGGGCTATGTTGGGTCTTGACAATAACGTCAAGCTCTTAAGTGAGAGAGTTTGTAACACTTCGATTAGTCTCACATCGGAAGTGGGCAAGACTAAGATTGATTTATAAAGAACTGATGAATGTACTATTATCAACTTCAATTTAAGCATTTGATCAGTGATTTGGGTTCAACGAAGTTGATAGGTCGAGTTGTGACATCTTTACTTTCCTTTCTTTCTTTGTTTGTTTCTTTCTTTCCCCAAGAACAACAACAAGTTGGAAGGCTGCAATCATTTGGGAGGTTGACTTCTTCTTTTGTTCTATGTGGGAAGCTTTTAAGCAAGTGAAAAATGCCTTTGCAAAGTTAGTAATTTGGTCAAAGGGCTACATAATTTTATAACATGAATTCCTAAGGGCCAAGATGATTTTTTTTTTTTTAATCACTGAATCAGGGTTGACATCAGTAGGACTGTGCTATGGGAAATTGTGCTTCTTTATGCTTATGCAGGTTGTAGGCATGATAACAATTGGCAGGCTAAAAGAAGCCCAACTTCACGGTTAATTCTGTTTCAACAATGCACAATCCATATATTATCATGACCTCTATCTATGAGCATAATTTATCAACCATTATGATAAAAGGAAAATAACCCCAGATTTCAGTTAAATCCCATCTTATTTTGGACTCAAAAGTGTCATCCAAATAATAATCCACATAAGACTAGAAGACATCTGACCCAAAAAAAATAACAAGTATTTATACAGAAATTCTCTAAAAAAGGGGAAAAAAAACCCAAGAAAATTATCTAAAATTGAATTTATAGCTAGGGTCAAATTCAGTCCAACATCAACCAAAAATTTGGAACTCAAATTGACCCTATAATTCACTTATATTACACTATTCTGAACCTTGCCAGCTGCATCAATAACCTTGGAAGGATTTGTTGATTATAAATTAATGGAAAAATTTATCTAGTTGATGTTCATTCTTTCATAGCGTACTAAAAGGTAAGGAGCTAGTGAAGAAGAGGTCATCTTTGGTCAGGTCTTGCTTGATCATTCTCAACTTTTGTGCTACATCACAAGCTCTAAGTTTAGTTATGTAAAATAGCAAACCTTGAATTATGGAATTTAAACTAGGAAACAAACTTTTTTATATTATGCACATATGCTTTTCATATGATTGTCAGCCATGTATGCTTCTCGCTACATGCTATGTATTTGAAACTTTGATCTCTTTCATGCTGCTCTTAGTATTATTAGTTCTTAAAAATTCATTCTGGTAGAAATTATAATCCAGTTTATTTTAGTCCATGAAGGAGACAGAATCACATGAAGATTTTAAGATGCTTTGCATTTTATTGTATCTAAAATAACCTGTTTTGTCTGTTTATCTTGAATTTTTTTTTACAGTACAAGCCAGAGTCCTGCACCATTCAAGCTCACAAAGGTGACAAAATTAAGGTTCACTATCGTGTAAGTTCTAATTGTATTGAAGTTCTTATTGTTTACTGACGAAAGAATGTAACATTTGTTTGATATGTCCTCTTCCTTGTATTTTGTTCTCTTTTCTCTTCTCACCTCCATCTTGTGGATGTGCAAGTATTTGGAAGTTGGTTTTAGTATTGTTCTGGAGGTATAGAACCATGCAGATTTTCTGGGTAGGCAAAGAAGTCAGTCAATGTTAGCTTATTAATATAACACTAAAATGAGTAGTACTGTCTTTTGTATATATTACAATAATTATTTTTAACTTCATAGCCTTTATAGACAAGTTATAACTAGTTATTTGATCTTAATCCAATGGCTAGTGTAGGACTCCAGATCTTTGATACAAACTTCATGGTATTTCTTCCACGATATATGCGAGCAAAGGAATAACATGGTAAACAAGAGAAATTAAGAAAGATGGTTCAGTGGGTTCCATGTATCTCCTTGCGCACATTTGTAGATAATCAAACTTTGATCCTCTCTTATTCATTCACCAGCCATAAATACAATTCAAAGACATTATTGACTCAAAATACATAACTTGCTGTGATACCAATTGAGACAAACTATATACAGTTACTATCAAATACACATAGATCATGAAAATTAATAGGAAAACAACACAAAATGAGATAGTTGCATTTGGTCAGTTGTCCCTGATCATAATCTTGGAATAAACTTTAATCCTTTCCTTTTCATTAACCAGTCACTAAAGACAACTCAAAAACATAGCTAACTCGAAAGACTTAACTAATATTACCATCTAATAGTTATGTATGTCGTTGAGCACAATAAACAAGTCATACAAATAACCAAACTCAACACCAAAGAAGCACTTCAGCATATTAACTAATTCAAATTGGCACTAACACAACTAATACTAGCTGTGTATGGCATTCAGCAGCATAAACAAGTTATACAAATGACCAAACTCAGCCTTTCTCGCATCTGAAGAGTTCTTTAGCATACAATGAGTCCCAATCGTCACTAACACAACTAATAGAAAACCAATCAATTTTTTACTTTGCATTGCATCTTAATGACTTGTTTTGCATCCATCAACTCTCAGCTTTCTTGTACTCTTTCACTCTTTGAATTTCATATTTCTCTTGGAATATGGTAGCTCTGAATTGTAGATTTGATATCTGATTAATGTTTTCAAGAGCACTAGGCACTATAAAGGCAAGGATCCTTATTACCTGATGCTTACCTAGGCACTTCCCGGATAAAGCAAGATGCCTCTCGCAAAATGTTTCCCTTATTTGGACTAGATATTTTGAAGCCAATGTTGCATATATTAATAACCTATTAGATTTCTCGCTTGGTGTGATCTAATGTTATACTCTAATATATCTCAAGATTTTATAGGTTTTTTTGTTGACTAAATTCAGGTTGATCTTTTATTTTAAAGCCAGTAGACATATTGATGAAATTTCAAGCTTTTATCTTGTCTGTCCAACTTATGTTCCAGTAGTAGGTGACACATGATAGGTTGTGTTTCTTAGGGGTTTAAATAGGTGCCTAGGCACTTGCTTAAGCGCTCGGGTGAGACGAGGCGAGGCCCGCTTGAGGCCTCGACTAAGCGATGCACTTTAGTGAAGAACCTCTTGAGTGCTTGCCTAAACCCAAGTGTCTGGTGCCTTAAGCGAGCACTCGGTTCAAACGAAGTAATCGAACTAGACTATTAAGCCTGATTCGGTTGAATAATAGCTTGTTGGTTTTATTGAACCAACTAAGCTACATACTATTACCATACTTGCAAAACCCACCCCCCCGCGTGACCTCGAGAGTAGCTACTAAGTCCGTTGTTGACGCTTCCTCTATAGCTGACGGGCAAGTCCGACAGCCTAGCTTTCATGTGTAGTTCTCTTTGTCGCTACTGCTTCCGTGTGCACCAGCCCTCATTCCTTTCACTTCTTTTGTCCATTTCCTTGTCACCAATTTCTACGAGATAAGCATGCTTTTCATGTTATGTTTTTAACGATGCACGCTCTGTAATGTCAAGAAAGAAATAACAAATAAAGTGAATTCTTTTATTGTATGTGAATTCTTTTATTATATTTAAAGCTTCAGTATGATTATAGAGAAATCTAACAACAAATATTATCCTTTCTCAAGTCTTCTAGATGTCAGACAACAAATAGGTGTATAATTAATTTCATGGTCACATGAGTTACTTGGTAAGTTTGTGGAAGAAATTGGTGAACAAAATGTCGACCAAGTTATAACCGACAATGGAAGCAATTATATGTTAGTTGGTAAGATTTATCTTTTGAATTTTTTAATCTTTTAATTATTTTATCTTTAATTTGAATGGAAGAATTATGTGACTCCTAAGTTTTATCCTAGCAACCATGCTTTACCCATGATTCTTTGTGACCCTTTAATAAGTCATTTGTATAATCAAACTCTTTTTTCAATAATAACTTGAAGGTTTTAAGCCCCCATCATATCTTCCAATAACTTCAATCATCTCTTTAGAACTGTCTAACCGACAAATACTAAGAGAAAGGCCAACCTGATAGAAGAAGCAAGCAATGTATTGAATTGATCTTCCCTTTGTTTCCTTATCACAAGCATCACTTATATTTATTTGTTTTAATTTTGCTCCTACTTGCTCTTGTTGCTTCTGTGATCCTTAATACATATATAAGTCCATCGATCTCCTTTTAACCTTCTTAACAACCATGACTTCTTTTCCTTTTGTCGTAGACTCTTTTCCCACTTGGATTGACACTTTCTGAATAATTTTCTTCTTCATCATCTATAATATGTTCAACATTATCCTTAAATAAAATCCCACAAGATTCATTCTTTTGTATCTTTTTTTTAGTCATATAAATCATCAACTCTTCTTTTACATCAAGTGGACATTTCTTGCATGCTGATGCATTCTTGAAGTTCCCTACTCGATATTACTTTGCACAAAAAATACCATATTTAGGATCCTTTAGATAATTGTATTTCCAAGAAGGATCCTTTCTTGAATTTTTTTATGAATTTTCTGAATTGCATTATACACTTGTCATTAATCTTGAAACAATAATAATAATTTTAAATAAATAGAGATTAGCAATGTTAAAATTTATATAAAGACTATTATATGATAACAGTAATTATCTACTGTTAATAGTAGATTATTTATTATTAACAATGGTTAAAGGGGGAGAAAAGAGTGATCTACTATTAACAATAGTTAAAGGGGGAAAAAAGAGTCACCGACAATGGAAAGTGAGGAAGGAGAGAGCAACGATGATGGAGGAACTTCCGAACAACGATGACAGCAACAAAGGAAGCTGCAGACGACAACAGCAATAGCGGAGCAAAGCTTCGGACGACAACAGCAATGGAGGAAGCTTTGAACGACAACAACGACAACGGAGGAAGCTACGAAAGATAGTGACAGAAGCTATCTTAATATCGTCCTTTTCAAATCTTATAGTTTATACATTAAAGGTAATAGACCCTTTTGTTCGAGTCCTTTGGTTGGCATATATTGAAATAAGTCTGTAATAAAATATATTTATGAAACTATAGAAAGAGCAAAGGAGACGATTCAAAAGTTGTTTGATAGAAATGAAGACAAGTATAAGAAAATATTTACAATCATTGATGAAAGATGGAATTGTCAACTTCATCGTCCATTACATACGGTAGTATATTATTTGAATTTAGAATTCTTTTATAAGAATACTTCCATTGGGTTTGATGCAGAAGTTGTAAATAAGTTATATAAGTGCATTGCAAGATTAGTTTCAAGTCTTGAGATGCAAGATAAGATTACGTATTTACATGTGAATTATCTTTGTATAAGAATGTCGATGGTCTTTTTGGAATTTTAATGGAATTTTGTATAACTTTATATAATTAATTTCATGTATATTATGTTATTGTTAATAATAAAGTAAATTTTACAACCGAATGATGGAGTCTATTTGGAAATTCTACCCCGAACTTGTAATTGGCTATCAAAATTTTTAGTTTGACTTGTAGTCTTGTGGGTTATGAGCGAAACTGGAGTGCTTTTGAGCATGTAAGGATCACATAATATTTTTGTTTCAATTAATTTATTATTTTTTGATAGATGTATTAGTATATTTTTAAATTATATAGCATAACAGATTCACACGAAGAGAACAAAATCAATTAGAGCATCAATGATTACATGATCTGGTTTATATAAAGAATAATCAAGTATTGAAGGCTCGTCATAATTTGCGAAAGAACATTGATCCAATCTCATTACAAGATATTAATGATTCAAATAAGTGGTTGGTGAGGGAAATGAGTGTGAACTTACAAGATGTCGAAGATAAGTTTGTACTTGAAGATGACAGCTTAACATAGGGAGATGTGGCAAAAGTCTCAAGTGTTGGAGAATTTCAGACATATACAAGATAGATGACGAAGGCAAAAATGAGTACAGAAGTCTCAAGTTCATCTCCTGCCATTGTCGAAGAGGAGGAAATCTTTTTTTAATGAAGATGGATGAGAGGAAGAGAAAGATGATGATATGTTTGAGAATTACGATTTTGATTATGATGATGATAGAACTTGATATATAACTTTATTGTTTTGAATCTTTGACATTTTTGTTATTAGAAGATAGATAAAGTGATTTAGTACTTTAGATCTTTTTTAATTTATGGTTGTATTTTTATTTATATAATAATATATATCAATTATATTATATATATTTTTATATTTTAAAGCGTCTCGTTTCGTTTGGGCAAGCGCTTAACGCCTCGGGCATTTTGGGACCTTGACACTTTTTGACACCTAGCACTTTTTAAATCATTGGTGTTTATTCATCTTTTATATAGATCTAGAGTGTTCTACCTATTTTATCTCTTGTGTGATTTACTTTTTAGTACCTTTTCTCAAATTTACTACTCTTGACATGTGTTGCAGGGTTCACTTACTAATGGTGAAGTATTTGATTCAAGCTTTGAAAGAGGTGACCCCATTGAGTTTGAGCTAGGCAGTGGTCAGGTGATCAAAGGTATTGCCCTTTCTCTGATTGACTGTCCCCTTATGCCCTTTTGAAAGAGGTGATTCAATTATATTTGAATGTGTTCTTTTTAAGCATGTTACTTCAAAGTAGTGACACTAACATGTGTCACTTATGACAGAAGAGGGAGCAAACATTATTCTGCATTTCTTATCGTGACTGCTTTATGTTGGTTCTGCATGCAATCGTCCTACTATTTTCTAAGTTTTGATTATTTACCTTAGCCGCTTCATAATATTGGTGAAGCACGAGTGCCCAATTTTCTTACCTCTCTGAGCAGATTCTACTGGTAACATGAATTAGAATAGCTTTTACATAAAACTCTTCACATTGAACTCCAATTTTTGTGATTTGTGATGCATTTGGGAACCTGATCACTGTATGGTTTGGATCTCGACCATGGTTTGTATGCTAAACTTTTGATTTGTAAGTGTCCATTGCAATCCTGCCTACGTTTGTACTAGAAGTTTCAAAAAGTGGATATTTTCTTGATCCTTGATTTTAATTATCTGATTATGAGGGAGATTATTATCCAATTTATGTTTTTTTTTTCATAGAACCAGAATCAGAAACAATTGATTAAATCTATTGGTTCTCAAAATTGACTCCCTTTATGTTTTCTTTTATATAAATATTTTATATAAGCGGAATCATCTTGTTCAAAAGGTGGCATGGTTTACCACTGAAAAAAATGATTGTGCAGGATGGGACCAGGGCCTTCTGGGCATGTGTGTTGGTGAAAAGCGAAAGCTAAAAATTCCTGCAAAACTTGGTTATGGTGCCCAAGGATCCCCACCAAAGATCCCAGGTAACGCATCGGGTTTAACTTTTTTTGTTTTTCTATTGTCATGCATTTTTCTTTTCCCTGGGTGTTGTCGAAGGACCACCTGTTGCCTTGTAAAGTTTATCATCATGCGTGACACTGCTGTTTACGATCACATATATGAATTGGCCTTTGCTATATTGTCTGATATGGTTCCAATAACTGGCAGGCGGAGCGACCCTTATCTTCGACACGGAGCTTGTGGCCGTCAATGGGAAGTCGTCATCTGACGCTGGAAAATCCACGGTTGACGAGAGCGAGCTGTGACTTCTCGAGAGACTAGAAAGTATCACTATAATCTAGCAGTCGATGCATCATTTCAATAACCATTAACTATTTTTGGTGGATTAGGACATTTTGTAGGGCGCCTTTTGGCAAGTTGATCGGTGACTTCGTCTCATTAATTTTTCACTTTAGTGCTGTGTTATTCTTCATACTGAATTCCTTCAGCACACGATGCAGAGGGCCGTTCGCTGTCCATACATACTTTGCCATGGGAGTGGCATGCCAGAATTGCCTGCGATCCAATAACCATCAGCCTCGGAGTAGCGCTATACAAGGAAATGAATGGGTGTGACAGCTTCAGCGGTTGGACCAAATAGATTTAATTTTAGGTGCGTGGGATATTGAGACACACCAACACAACTAATAGTTTTCGTTTTAGACCTTTAATATGTCACCAACCTCTGCATAATAGGTGGATCACATTAACTACCTACCATCCCCATGCAAACCGACTCCAAAGATGCCACGATTAACAAAAGAAGACCAAGGAAAGAGCTATTCATCTCGAATCTCTCATCAACGTCTCGTAGGCTCCATCTGTCCATTGCCCGCTAAGGTACTGCCTAGCTTCCAGTTTTCTGCAAAATTTCCATCAAATAACGAGTCTGATCCATGTCAATTTGCGCCAACCACTGGCGTATTTAACTTTCAAAGTTTCGAGGTCTTACAGTGGCTTCGGTCATCTCTCATTTGCTCATTTTGGCAAATATGTTGCCATAAAACTTGGCATCTTTCTTGTTGTATTCCCTCATCTTCTCCTTCAAACTTTTATATTCCAATTTCACATCCCTATAACAACACAACCACGAGTGAGCAAGCTAACAGTAGTGCCATCTACAATGATCCATATGTCTGCCTTAACATACCTGTTGTCCGGATCAATTTCAAGTGCTTTCTTGATGTCCAACTCTGCAAGATCCAAATCAGCAAGCTGAATATAAGCTTGGGCTCTCCTATACAGGGCCTTTACATTTCTGCTGTCAACCTCCAGCACCTAGTTTGACAACCCCTCTCTGTTCTTAGTGTACTGTATAAATTATGAAACTAGTCTATATTGGTCCAAATAGCACATTAAATAAGCCAAGGGATTGACCGATACCTTGGAGCAAAGCTTCTCTGCCTCTTTGTAGTCTTTGAACTTCAATTTGCAGGCTGCATTATTGAGATCACATATGGCTTTTAATGCCCTGGATTGCTTCTTTTCCTCTTCACTAAATGAGTTATCATACTCGATGAACTTGGCACCCTGAACACGGGGAAGTAAAAAAGTAAGCCACAAACACCTGAATTATTACATGAAACGAAGGGACATATCAAAACAAGCGGAATATGTATAATAAATAACCTTTTCGTATCTCTTGGAAGCTCTAGCATATTTGCCCAATTTAAACAATGCATTTCCCTCTTCTTTTTTCTTACCAGCAGCTTCAATCTTCTCTGCGGTGTTCATGTCCCATGATTCTTTCTCCTGTAGGAGAAATGTGGTAAATGAGGCTCATTAGTCTATCCAAAACTAGACTGCGACAATCAAATATGAGAGGGTGAGAGGGGCTGCCCACCTTTACAAATGATACAAGTTCAACTTCATATATGACAGTGGAGTTGGCAGGAACCACAGCAAGTTCCTGCTTCGACTCGGTGAATGAGAATGCATATTCTGGTGGAATAGTTACCAAAGCAATCTCTCCTTTCTTCATACTCATCACTGCTTGGTCAAGACCCTCGATGACTTGTTCTGTCACAAAAATCGTGGGTCACTCGTACCTTTACACAGCTGATGCAAGCAACAAAAATATGAAATAAGAGCAATTAGACCTTCATCGGACTTGAACTCAAATGGCTCCTGCTCATCATGACCCTTCTTCACAAAGACTGTCCCATCTTGTAGCTTACCAATCAACTTCACTGCATATATCAAAATAAAACTATAAAAGATATCAACCAACAGGGTGCTACGACAGTTATGTAAAACATGTATGATATGACTTCTGGATCACTACCTGTCACAACCGCTCCTTCATTTGGCTTTTGGTAACCTTCTCCTTCCTTGAGAGTCTTCTTAATGATCTTTCTGTCATCCCCTATCTCGGTAACAGTCTTCCATGATATTAATTCAAGCTCAATACAGAGAGTGGCATTTGGTGGCACAGCACCCTCATCACCAGAAGCCGGTCTACCTTTTCCGCCAAATGCATCTATCCTCAAAAAGGACATCGAACATAAGTTACACATTGCAATGTATTACAATGGAGCCATGGATAAATTACAAAACTAGTCCGATGTAACCTTACATTGTGGTTTCACAGTAAGGAGCACCCTTTCAGCCTTCTTCATGGTTTTCACAGCTTTAGCCAATGCAGGACAGAAGAAACCTGATCCCGGAAGGATATTTTGGCTAGTTAAACAAGATCAACATTCCAGCAATGCAACTTGTAGAGTTACACTAACCATTTTTAACAGTAAACTCTACTCCCTCTGATTTTGAGATCACAGTTCCATCCTCAAGCCGGGCTTCGTATGTCACTGATGAGATGGAGAATGTTGACACTTCTTGATTCCAAAGAGGACATATGAATATAAAAGAAAAATTCAAGGAAAAGAGAATGTACCAAGAACTTCATCGAGATCTTTTGGGTTCTCCCACTTCTCCCCTTCCTTCAGGATCTTCTTAAATATGCCTCCGTCTTTGCATATGTCCTTCACACTACACCATGACAGTAACTCCACATCAAATTGGAGAGTGGCATTGGGTGGGATAGTGGGAGGAGAACCAGATTGACCATAAGCCAGCTCTGGAGGTATGGTGAAGATGGCATTTTCACCCTTCTTCATAGTTTTAATACCTTGATCCCATCCCTTTATGACTTGTCCTGGAAGAACCATAAAATAAGTGGAAAAGAACAAATATGCTAATCAGAAAATAAAGCATCGATTTGTTGACAGAGTTTGGGATATGATTTCAGTCATACATAAATAACTCTAGCACTTCTGATATAGTAAATTTAGTACATATCAGTTGAGATAACTTGTGGAAAGTAAGAACTTTCTACAAATACTTGTTTACATAATTAGAAAGCAAAAAAAATTTGGATTTAAGAGTAAGAAAATTACAAAACAACTTGAATAGAAAAAAGAGCATGAAACTTGCCCCTAATTGAATCATAGTCTGCTCAACCCATCATTATGTTACTAAATTATAGGAAAAAAAACAGTCCATTAGATGAGACTCCTGCCAATAAAAGGTTCAATGTAAGAGGTCTTACCTCAATAAGAGAATAGATTGTTTTTATGACTCAAACCCTGTTGGCTTAGGTCACACTGTGGTGTACAAGCTCTCCCTCTTGATGATGAGAAATACAACTTAACACGATTAGAAAAAGAAAATCATAGAAAGATAATACTATGCGCCGCTAAGCTTACTCTTTGGCGCCACAAATTTTTGTTAGTTCCCAGATCGATAATACTTGAGAACCTTTGACCAGCACTACATTTCAAGTAGAAGGCATCCATGGTCCAATAGCACCACAATTATTTACTGTATTACTTGTCTCAAACATAATCCATAAAACAAGTGATCATTAGATAGCTACACATACACCTTCTTACAACTTAAACAAGGTTTAGTTACCTTGATGATTCTTGCTTCTTACAGTTTCAAACTTGAGCAAAGTTTTAATGACATATGCTGGACATCCAGCCTTGGCTGGAAGCACATTGAAGATGCAAGAATAGAAACTCTTGAACAACTCATAGCTACTCTTCTGGTAATATTGATGCCTTCATGTAGCAGGCATATCTGCTGACATTAATACTTTGATGAGCATTACAATAATACTAATAATGGAAAGTACTAGCCTTGAAGAAGAAGGGTCACATTTAAGACATAACCTATTCAGGAAACCAAATCCATATTCCTTCCTGATAAAGGGAAACCTGACAAAGACACAAATCTGTGGAGCTGAAAACCCACCTTGGCCGAGCTTGAATTTGAACGGCGTCCCCCGATCACGGCTCGAATCGAACTTGGTCCCGTCGAGCAGAGTCCCAGTGTAGTGCACTGCGATCCAAACCCTCGAAAGGTCAGATTTTTCCCTCTCAGAAATAGACAGTAAAGCCACCACACAACCTCATCCGAACCAAACAAAATGTCCCAAAGAACGCAACGACGTCCGAGATTTCTCGTCGGAATACCTTCGACTTCATCTCCCACCTCGGGCGTCTCCCACCCGGACCCCTCCTTGACGAGCTTCTTCTTGAGCCCCTGCTTTCCGACCTCCTTCTCCTCGCCGACCTTGAGCGCGGGGCCATCGTCGGGCGGGTCCATCATCGCGGCCTCCTCCTCGCCGCCCGGAATATCGAAGTCCTCTTCGTCCATGACGGCGGCTTGGCTCCGTGCAGGGATTAGGGCAACGGGGCCTGATGCGATCGCCTCGGATACGGCGGAGATGTGGCGGAGGGAGACGGGGACAGAAGGAGAGGAGTATTATACCGCAAGGAGCACAATAAGGGGTTCCAGAGAGTTCTAAAGGCCAAGAAAGGCTCCTGAAATATGCGTCCCTTCGATGCTTTAGGAAAATATGATATATTAATATTAAATTTGATGCATAATTTCTCATCAAATTCTCACAGCATATGAATCATGATGTTGAGATTTTTAGTTACTTATAATTGAAAATGCACATAAATGATAAAGATAATTGCAGGAAAAATTAAAAATCTAACTCATTGCATCTTTGCTTACATATAATATAATCATTACGCTCCAAAGTAATACTAATCGTTCGTATTAGGAATTATCCTAACCAAACTTATGAAAGAAATTAGCCAGACAAAATGTGTTTCTTGATCACCCAAATTATTAATATCCAAAACAACCAAAGTTGTGCATGATGATATTGGAACCTTATGACCGAATATATATTGGTAGTCGATACAATTTGGACGTCTTGTGATACATCACATGCTATAGGATCTTTAAAACGGAGCTCGATGGATGATGGATTGGTCGCAAAATGGAATTTCGATGATACTTCACTTGCAGCTTTGGTTATCTGTAAGAAACTTATGTATAAGGCTCCGAACTTTGTTTAGATGACTGTTGCAGGTTTAATGTGTGGATGGAGACGAATGTTTGGAGATCATATATATT